ATTTATCTAAACTGCTCACAACAGCATCAAGACTGTAGGATCTGGGCTTTGATCCGCATGCCAGTCTCACCTCAATCCCTTTCCTTCTGCCATACCAACAACCTTTCAATTTCTTGACTTTGCTGTGCTTTTTTATACCTTGGGTCTTTGCACATAGTGTTCTCTTTGCTCTAGAAAACTCTCCACTTCCCCACCCTACACACTCCTTACACAACTAGCTCCTTCCAATCGTTTAGATCTAAACCTAAATGTGATTCTGTAAGAGAGATCTTCCTAAAATTTGGATTCAGAACAATCCCAACATCAGCAGGCTTTTTATGGAAGTTGACAAGCTAACAGTAAAATGTATATGGAGATGCAAAAGACAAAAACAAACAAACAATAAAAATGTATATGGAGATGCAAAGGACCAAGAATACCTAAGAGAATCTTGAAGATGTACAAAGCTCTAATAATAAAAATAAGAGAGTGATCTATTAAAATACAATGAAATAAGAACTTCATTTCTTTCAATGATACCATTAAAATTGTGGTAAAGTAAGCCATAAATATGTACGGGTATGTGTGTGTATAGTCTTGCGTCCAGAATTTATAGTGTTTCTGCAAATCTGTAAGAAAAAGAAAGAGGCTGGGCATGGTGGCTCACACCTGTAATCCCAGCACTTTGGGAGGCCACAGCGGGTGGATCACAAGGTCAGGAGATTGAGACCATCCTGGCTAATACAGTGAAACCCCGTCTCTACTAAAAATACAAAACAATTAGCCAGGCGTGGTGGCGTAAGCCTGTAGTCCCACCTACTCCGGAGGTGGAGGCAGGAGAATGGCATGAAGCCAGGAGGTGGAGCTTGCAGTGAGCCAAGATCGCGCCACTGCACTCTAGCTTGGGTGACAGAGCAAGACTCCATCGGAAAAAAAAAAAAAAGAAAAAGAAAGAGAGCCCTATAGAGAAGTGAGCACAAGACTTGAACATGCACACCAGAATAAAATAAACAAATGGCCTCTTAACACATGAAAAGATGCTCAACCACATTAATCATCAGGGAAATGCAAATTAAAAACACAATGAATAGAGCTAGTAGCTGGTAAGATGGCTGAACAGGAACAACTCCAGCCTGCAGCTCCCAGTGAGATCGATGCAGAAGGCAGGTGATTCCTGTATTTCCTACTGAGCCTCTGCTGGTGATACCCAGGCAAACAGGGTCTGGAGTAGACATCCTGCAAACTCCAGCAGACCTTCAGCAGAGGGGCCTCAGTGTTAGAAGGAAAACTAACAAACAGAAAGGAATAGCGTCAACATCACCAACACCAAAGACCAAAGGTAAATAAATCCATGAAGACGGGGAGAAGAAACCAGTGCAGAAAGGCTACAAATTCCAAAAACCAGAATGCCTCTTCTCCTCTAAAGGATCACAACTCCTCGCCAGGAAGGGAACAAAACTGGATGGAGAAAGAGTTTCAATTGACAGAAGTAGGCTTCGGAAGATGGGTAATAACAAATTCCTCTGAGCTAAAGAAGCAGGTTCTAACCCAATGCAAGGAAGCTAAGAACCTGGAAAAAAGGTTAGGCAAATTGCTAACCAGAATAACTAGCTTAGAGAAGAACATAAACGACCTGATGGAGCTGAAAAATGCAGCATGAGAACTTCAAGAAGCATACACAAGTATCGATAGCTGAATCAATCAAGTGGAAGAAAGGATATCAGAGACTGAAGATCAACTCAATGAAATAAAGTGAGAAGACAAGATTACAGAAAAAAGAGTGAAAAGAAATGAACAAAGCCTCCAAGAAGTATGAGACTATGTGAAAAGACCAAATCTATGTTTGATTGGTGTACCAGAAAGTGACGGGGAGAATGGAACCAAGCTGGAAAACACTCTTGAGGATATTATCCAGGAGAACTTCCCCAAACTAGCAAGGCAGGCCAACATTCAAATTCAGGAAATACAGAGAACACCATACAGATACTTCTCGAGAAGAACACCCCAAGACATATAATCGTCAGATTCACCAAAGTTGAAATGAAGGAAAAAATGTTAAGGGCAGCCAGAGAGAAAGGTTGGGTTACCCACAAAGGGAAGCCCATCAGACTAACAGTGGGTCTCTCTGCAGAAACCCTACAAGCCAGAAAAGAATGGGGGCTAATATTCAACATTCTTAAAGAAAATAATTTTCAACCCAGAATTTCATATCCAGCCAAACTAAGTTTCATAAGTGAAGGAGAAATAAAATCCTTTACAGACAAGCAAATTCTGAGAGATTTTGTCACCACCAGGCCTGCCTTACAAGAGCTCCTGAAGGGAGCACTAAATATGGAAAACAACAAACGGTACCAGCCACTGCAAAAACATACCAAATTGTAAAGACCAATAATGTTATGAAGAAACTGCATCAATTAATGGCCAATGACAGGATCAAATTCACACATAACAATATTAGCCTTAAATGTAAATGGGCTAAATGCCCCCAATTAAAAGATACAGACTGGCAAATTGGATAAAGAGTCAAGACCCATCAGTGTGCTGTATTCAGGAGACCTATCTCATGTGCAAAGAAATGTACAGGCTCAAAATAAAGGAATGGAGGAAGATTTACCAAGCAAATGGAAAGCAAAAAATACCACAGGTTGCAATCCTAATCTCTGATAAAACAGACTTTAAACCAGCAAAGATCAAAAGAGACAAAGAAGGGCATTACATAATGATAAAGCGATCAATGCAATAAGAAGAGCTAATTATCCTTAATATAAAAACACAATAAGTAACACGTGCATACCTTATAAAATAACTAAAATTTAAAACTCTAACAATAGCAAGTATTAGTAAATATGGGAAAACAAATGAAATTCTCATTAATTGACTGGGTGCAGTGGCTCACATCCGTAATCCCAGCACTTTGGGAGGCTGAGGTGGGCGGACCACGAGGTCAGGAGATCCTGGCTAACACGGTGAAACCCCATCTCTACTAAAAATGCAAAAAAGAAATTAGCCAGGTGTGGTGGCAGATGCCTGTACTACCAGCTACTCGGGAGGCTGAGGCAGGAGAATGGTGTGAACCCAGGAGATAGAGCTTGCTATGAGCCAAGATTGCACCACTGCACTACAGCCTGAGCAACAGAGCAAGACTCCATCTCAAAAAAAAACAAAAACAAAAAACCAAACCAGAAATTCTCATTAATTGCTGGTAAGAGTATAAATTAGCATCACTTTGTGAAATAATTTGGCCCATGTACTAAAGCTGATATATACATATGCTATGATCTAGTAATTTATCTTGTTGTTATATAAACAAGAGATATGTATACATATGCTTGCCAAACAACAAAATAGAAACTCAGTTTCTACTTTGAGTTCCATTCTTCATATTGAGTTCAAGCATTGAGTTCCATCCTTCATATTCAAGCATTCCCTACTCCCTTGCCCCTGAGGGTGCATCTAATTCTGGATGACTATCTAGGAGAAAGATTGGGGTATGTGAGTACCTGACTTTTGTCTATCGTCTATCCATGCTGGTATCTGCTGAGATGCCAGGATACTGTTTGGGGTTTTAGCACAACACAGGTTCCTACTGAGTTATCCTATAACTGTATATAATAATTTTGATATTGCCTCCTACAATTCCTGTTGGACCTCCAGAGAGAGTGAACTCAATATTCCATTTCAAGTAAACCATAAGCACCCAAGTTCTCATTGCTCTCCCACCAGGATGACCTCACTTTTAGATATCATGTATTTCCTCAAAGCTATAGCCTATATCATGAGTCCTTTCCACTTCCCTAATTATCTAGGCTTCTTAAATTCAAAAGCTGGGACAAGAGTGGGGAGGAAGGGAGGAAGAGGCAACACCCCACATGTACCAGATGACACCACTCCATTATCTAAAGGCTTGTAATTTGCTTTTCCTTATACTCCAAATAAAATCTATGTATTTTTTGAGACAGGGTCTTGCTGGAGTGCAGTGGCCGAAACATGGTTCACTGTAGCATCAACCTTTTATATTCAAGTGATCCTCCCACCTCAGCCCCCTAAGTAGCTGGGACTACAGGCACATGCCACCATGCCCAGCTAATCTTTGTATTTTTTTGTAGAGACAGAGTTTCTCCATGTTGCCCAGGCTGGTCTTGAACTCCTGAGCTCAAACAATCTGCCTGCCTTGGCCTCCCACAGTTCTGGGATTATAGGCATGAGTTACCATGCCCAGCCTAAAATCTATACATCTTAAGTCTAAGGGATTAAAAATGGTCATAGATGCTTTGCAGCTTCTTCCATCAGGAATTATAATCTATTTCCCCATATCTTGAATCTGAACTGGCCCTGTGACATTTTTCAGCTAATAGAATAAGGTGGAAGTAGCATTGTACAACTTCCAAGGAAGGCCTCAAGAGGCCTTGTAGCTTCTGATCTGCTCTCTTGCTGCCCTGAATTTGCCATATCAAGAAGCCCAGGCTATCCTCCTAGGGGAATGAAAGACAACATGGAGAAGGAGGCCTTGCCCATAGCTGGCACCAACTGCCAGGTGGAAGGAGGCCATCTTGGACCACTGGCTATTACAGTCACCAGCTGACTGCAACTGTTTGAGTAGGCCTAGGTGAGACCAGGAGAAAACCACCCAGCTGAACTCAGCCTGAAGTGCTGACCTATGGAATCACGGGCAAATAAAGGGTTGTTGTGAGTTTTTTTTTTTTTTTTTTTTTTTTGAGACTAAGGTTCCCTCTTGTTGTCCAGGCTGGAGTGCAATGGCACAATCTTGGCTCACTGCAACCTCTGCCTCCTGGGTTCAAGCGATTCTCCTGCCTCAGCCTCCCAAGTAGCTGGGATTACAGGTGCCCACCACCATACTTGGCTAATTTTGTATTTTTAGTAGAGACTGGGTTTCTCCATGTTGGTCAGGCTTGTCTTGAACACCCAACCTCAGGTGATCTGCCCACCTCAGCCTCCCAAAGTGCTGGGATTACAGGCATGAGCCACGGTGCCTGGCCAGGCTGTTCTTTTAAACCACTACGTTTTAGGATGGTTTGTTACACAGCAGTAGACCACTGATACAGTAGGGTACCCAGAGCCTTGCATGATCTGGTCCTGCCTGCGTCTCCTGCCTAACTGCAGCGGGCATTCTTCTGGCTTTCTATGCCCCAGGGATGCTTTGAGTTCCTTAAATGCTCGTGAACTGTTTCTGCCTAGCATATTTGCACATTCTTTCCTTTGTCAGGAATACACTTCCCTGAATCATTTTCTTCACTAAATATTTCTCGTCTTTCAAGTCTTAATTTCAACATCAGAGAGGCCTTTTCTGATGAACAAATATAAACTAGATTCCCCTGGTTTTTCCCTTTGATAGCACCCTGTTCTCTTCACTTATAGTACTTATCACAGTTTGTAACTAAAATGTACCTGTGTGTGATTATTTAATGTATAAGTCTTCCAATAGACTGTAAGATCCATGAAGATAGGGACCATATGTGATTAATTTACCACTCTAAACCCAGCACCCACTCCCAGAGACTCACATGTAGTAGGTGCCTAGTCAACTTCTTGAATAAATATATTAATGCTTTTTACTATGGCTACATACTTAAAATATTTCAGATACATCCTGAATAAAATGTCCAATGAATGTCATTTCTTTGTAATCTGTCTACCAAGCAAGGCACACATTTGAGAATCAGATGTATTGGTTATGTTGGTTTTGCTCCCGTATTGAAAGAGTAGCTGATAGGTAGGACCAAAGTTACAGCCAAATGAAATGGTTCTAGCATCAGATGAAAGTGATATAGTTAGCACTTATTTTCAAAGCCCTCTAAATCTCTTCTTCCTACTTTGAATTTCAGTAGAAAATGGAAACTAATCAGACACTTTTTCTGAAAAATAAATTTATTTGTACATTTGAAAATTGTTCTAAAGTCCAGAGTATCTAACTTTTTTCCATTGTAGAAATAAATAAAATTATGATGGCCCTTCCTATGAAGCCTTGTTTTTTCTAAAACTATATGCCATTTAAGTAAAAGTGTAAGTCCAGGCAGATAGAGTTTTCCAGGTGGTAAAAGGACAGTGACGTAAAGAAGTTCAAAGTTGCATCAAAATTAAGACACAAAAGTACATTCAAGGAGATACTGGTAGAACTGGAAAGTAAAGATCATCAAATATACAGGATGGAGCAGAACCAGCTGCAGCCATTTGGAGGAGGTCCAGGTGAACACACATCATTTATTTATTGATCCATTCAAAAATTCATGAGCACCTCTTAGGTAACTGACACTGTTGTATATCCTGGGGATTCAGACATGATCAGCATAGACAAAGGTTTGGCTGCTCTATAGTCGTCAGAGACCCAGGCCTCTTCCATCTTGCCATTTCTCCATCATTAGCACATCTTCCATCTTTAAGTTTCCCTAATCATCAAAAATGGCTGCTGGAGATCCAGTCACTTTCTGTAAAATAGAAGAAAACTTGAAAAATTGAGGACAGACAGGATAGTGAACCACTGAGGTCATTGAAAACTCAGTGACATAAAAGGTCTTTTCATCAAGGTGTGCTAGCATCCTAGTCTAACATCTAGCTCCCCAGCCAGAGAGAAGAAAAAGAGGACAGAAATGTGTTTTTCAGATATGTTGCCTCTTAAAATGCTTCCCACAAACTCTACCCAATAAGTTACAATTACTCTCATTGGCTATCTCTAATCTCAAGGTAGACTAGTAAATGAGGTCTTCTAGTTGAACACATTGCCTCCTGGGACAGAATCGATTCTTCTCCTTAGAAAGATTAGGAAAATTGATATTGGCTTGGCAACTAGCAGCCTCTGTCACAGAGATCATGATTGGAGTCACGTTCCAGAGAAATTAAGTAAAGATGGGGTCTAGAGCAGGACTACCGAGATTAGACGAAAGAGGAACACTTTTTCCTTCCTCAAGGACAGGAACACACCCTGATGAACAGACCTTTCATGTCATTGAGTTTTCAGTAACCTCACTGGTTCACTATCCTGTCTGTCCTCAATTTTTCAAGTTTTCTTCTATTTTACAGAAAGTGACTAATGTGGATTTATTCTCAATACTCTGGATTGTTTTACAAAAACAGTTTCTGTTAATTTACTACAATTATCTCAAGATTTGAGAACTGGTAATACATTTTTTTAAAAAGTAGAGTTGCCCTTCTAATATTTTCTTTTTAAATTTTTAACTGTTTTACAAGAAAATCTGAAGTTAAGTTTCTGGAATAAGTTCTTATATGCACTTAGGCACTATCATGAACAAGTACAGCATCATAGTGAGACCCTCTCCACCCTTCCTACGTTTCCATTGTCCTCCAACTCCTCCATCACTGCCACATGGACACACTGCATAGGCAAGGCCGCCATGCTGTTTTTGTATTCCACAAATATGTCTCTTTAAGGTTAATAAAACACATTCAGGAGGGCAGACGTGGTGGCTCACACCTATAATCCAGCACTTTGGGAGGCCGAGGAGGGTGGATCACGAGGTCAGGAGATAGAGACCATCCCGGCTAACAGGGTGAAACCCTGCCTCTACTGAAAATAAAAATTAGCTGAGCGTGGTGGCGGGTGCCTGTAGTCCCAGCTATTCAGGAGGCTGAGGCCGGAGAATGGCCTGAACCCAGGAGGCAGGGCTTGCAGTGAGCCGAGATTGCACCAATGCACTCCAGTCTGGGCAACAGAGAGAGACTCTGTCTCAAAAAAAAAAAAAAAAATACATTCAGGACATGCAATTGAGCCCGGTGTTTCCAATTACTTAATTACTTACATGAGCTCGATGGAGTTTAACTTGAATTTTTAGGCAGAGATTAATTTATTATTATAGTTGATTTTTTTTTTTTTCTCTGAGAGAGGGTCTCATTCTGTGGCCCAGGCTGGAGTGCAGTGGCATGATCTCAGCTCACTGCAACCTCTGCCTCCTGGGTTCAAGCAATTCTCCCACCTCAGCCTCCCCAAGAGCTGTGACTACAGACGTGTGCCACCACACCCAGCTAATTTTCGTATTTTTAATAGAGATGGGGTTTCACCATGTTGGCCAGGCTGGTCTGAAACTCCTGACCTCAGGTGATCCACCTGCCTCGGCCTCCTAAAGTGCTGGGATTACAGGTGTGAGCCAACATGCCCGGCCTACTATTATTCAATTTTATTTCAAGCCAAACACCCTGGGTTTTCCCTGGCCTTTTACTATAATCTCATTTCACATTTGCCACTGCCAGACTGGCAAAGCAGCCTCCTTTCCCAAAGGACAAGTTATTTTGAGGAGTTCCTCTAACCACTCTGACTCTTCATCCTAGTTTTCCTGCCTCCTTTATCAGAAAGTTTCTTTTTATGGAGCCATCATAACACATCTAGGTTCTGCTTATGAAATGTACCTTCCTCAGAGTTCCAGAGTGTCCTGAGGTCAGATAAAAAATTTGTGTAACATTTAAGATTACTTATATACTTTGGTTAAAAATATAGTCCATATATCTTTTTTTTTTTTTTTTTTTTTTTTTTTTTTTTGCATCAGTAGAGAACAATTTGCTCACATTTAAGATTTTTTAATGTAGTGTCATAAAAATAAGAATTCATCTCCCCACTTGCACACTGTATCTGCACTTCTTTCGCCTCCACCTCTATGGTCTCCATCACCAGACTATTTCCAGTTCACAGCTGCCCAAGCATCTCCAAGGACAAACTCTTGGGACAAACTGAGCTCAGAATTTGGGCGAATATATTTCCCAGTAAAAACTGAACCTTCCTTTAAAGAATACAACCATTGGCCAGGCATCGTAGCTTATGCCTGCAATCCCAACACTTAGGAAGGTCGAGGAAGATCATCACTTGAGCCCAAGAGTTTGAAAGCAGCCTAGTCAACACAGAAAGTCCTCATCTCTGCAAAAGAAAAATTTAAAAAATTAGACAGGCATGGTGGTATGCACCTACGATCTCAGCTACCAGGGAAGCTGAAGCAAGAGGAACACTCAAGCCCTGGTGTTCAAGGCTGAAGTGAGTCATGATTGCATCACTGCACTCCAGCCTGGGCAACACAGTGAGACCCTATCTGGAAAAAACAAAATCACAGATCTAAAACAAAATAAAGCAAAACAAAAACATGCATGTACACACATCCAAAAACCAATGTAGAAATCACTAAACAGACAAACATATTTGCCACTAAATTTATAGCTTATAAAAATGAAAATAAGATGGACAAATAGTGGCTGTTTATTGTATTTTGTGCCTCCAGCACACCCCTCTTTTCTGGAAGCCAGCACAGCTATTTCCCAAAAGGACTGCAATTTATGTGGTTTCAATGCAGCTGTCCCGACCCTCTCCCTATCTCCCGTGGGGGGAGGCCAGAGTGTGTGCAGATCAGCCTGGGTCTTGGCTGAGATTTCTCATGTAAAACTTGTAAAAGAAAGGGCCTTTCTCTCTCAAAGGTGGCAAGTTCTGGGAAAAAGGAAATCTGGAGCTGCCTATAACCATTGTCCCTAACCCTAGAAATAAGTCATCTACAATAGATAAAAATGAGGCTAATGTGCAAAAGCAGTCAGGAATAGCAAGAGGAAAAGAGGCAGAACCCTGAAAACAGTATTTGGGCTCTTGGATTCCACACATTTTCTTTTCTGCTTTAAAGAGTTTGTATTGGGTGGCCAGGTGCAGTGGCTCACGACTGTAATCCCAGCACTTTGGGAAGCCGAGGCAGGCGATCACGAGGATCATCGGAGATCACAGCCTCCTTGGCTAATAAGTGAAACCCGTCTCTACTAAAAAATACAAAAAAAAAAAATAGGCTGGTGTGTGAACGTTGCTTCTGCTTGTCACAGCTACTCGGGGGGCTGACGGCATGAGAATGTTGTCAACCCAGCAGGGCAGAGTTGCAGTGAGCCAACAATCACGTCACTGCACTCGCCAGCCTGGAACAGGGCAGCAGGCAGGACTCCATCTCAAAAAAAAAGAGTTTGTATTGGAATTTCGTTATTCACGCTGGGTTTCCATAAGAGTGCCGTGTCCTACTACAGACCAGACGACATATCACCAACGGGCATCTGGAAAATCTAAAGATACCTGCTGGTGTATACAGTTATGTAGGTCTTAGACAGATTTTTAAAATTTTCCAGATGTTTTTAGCAGACTTACTGTTATTGCACAAATTATTTACATTGAGTTGGTTTCGATAGATGTCTGCCAAGTCTTTTCACACTCCATTCTTTCAGTAAACTAATTATACTAAAAAAAAAAAGTGGGCTCTTTGCATAACTACTAGAGTCCTTTTAAACATGTTGCTGATCAATGGCACCTTCACCAGTTAAAGTTTAGGGATAAAAGAGGGACAAAATTCAAACCTATCATTCCCACAGTTTTTATTAACTTCATGAAACAGTGTGTCAAGAGAGGATATTATGGGTCAAAATGAGTATTCAGAGATTTTATTTACCCGCTATATTAGAGAAGGTAAGTTTTTGCATTACTTCATTAGGGTGCTTATTTTAGATTCCCAAATCAGTTTCATTTCCTGTGCATCACCAACATGTGGAAAGGTCAGATACTTTAAAACATCTTTCATTAAGTTGTCCCAAGAAAAGAATATCTATTTCTGGTCATTTTAATCGATGTTGTTAAAATTATCAGCATATTACCTTGGATGCCTTGACTTACAAGATTGGTTTCTATCATCCAATAGCCTACTGTTGGTTGGTGAAGATATCTTCTCAATGAATCCTGAGTAATAACTAAGGTAAAAGGTGATCATTGTTCTAAAGAACAAAGTCCTGAGTGGCACCACAGCTATAGCAACCTATAAACAAGTGTGTCTGGCTCCAAGTCTACGTCTGATCTCTGCTAGAAAAAATGACAGGCAATGGAATGGTGTGATATTAAATTTAGAACCTAGAAAACATGGAAATTAATTCGTATATATCTAAGGGAGAAGAGAAAATATTTTTTTTTTTTTTTTTTTTGAGACGGAGTCTCACTCTGTTGCCAGGCTGGAGTGCAGTGGCACAATCTCGGCTCACTGCAACATCCACCTCCTGGGTTCAAGTGGTTCTCCTGCCTCAGCCTCCTGAGCCCAGTAGCTGGGACTATAGGCACCCACCACCACGCCCGGCTAATTTTTTGTATTTTTAGTAGAGACGGGGTTTCACCATGTTGGCCAGGATGGTCTTGATATTCTGATCTTGTGATCCACCCTCCTCAGCCTCCCAAAGTGCTGGGATTATAGGCATGAGCCACCGTGCCCGGCCTAAAAATGTTTTTAAGTATTGAGAACTAGCATAACCCCTGTAATCTAAGCTAAAACTCAAGAAATAAGCCAAAGGAATTTGAATTTTTAAATGTTTACATTCTTTTTTTTTTTTTTTTCATGAGGTGGGCTCTCGCTATGTTGGCCAGGTTCATCTTGAACTCTTGGTCTCACGCAACCCTCCCACCTCAGCCTCCCAGAAGGCTAGGATT